GATTGCTTCTTGGGTCAGGTGTGCGAGCACGAGGAAGGCCTCCAAGCTCCGCAGCGAGGACCAGCGGAGCCTCGACGACCACCAGAAATATATCATAACCCACAGTATAGCTTTGAGAAGAAGCAGCCGAACTACGAAGGCAACGAGAGCTTCAAGAGCCAAAGAAAGAGCTACGAGACCCATCGCTGAGCTATGAGAGCCACAAGCAGGGCTACGAGGACCACGAGGCGACAACCTGAGCTTCACGAGCCACAAACAGAAATATTACATCCACCATCGGAGCGAGGGGGAATACTGCCAGTCCTTCGAGTGTCACGAGCTCAACTCCAAGGACCGCAACCACAGCTACCAGAGCCACCTCCAGAACTGCGAGGACCGCCATCTTAACTACGAGGGCCGTAAGCAGGGTTACGAGGACCACCACCTGAGCCACGCGGGCTTTAAAGCCAGCTGCGAGGGCCACAGGCAGGGCAACGAGGACAACTAGCTGCACCATGAGGATCACCAGCTGAGCTACGAGACCTACAAGCAGAGTGGCGAGAACCACCAGCTCAGCTGATGGATGCACCAGATCTGCTTCTTGCCGAGCCGCTGAACTACGATCAGGTCGGGGAGAGCGATTATGAGGACGACGGGTGCGATGATGAAGATGAAAGGAGCGACGCGGAGTACGAGGAGAGCGACCAGCAGGCCCGTTCAGATGACCAAAGGTTAGTTTCAAAGAACAGTCAGCACACAGTGGAACATCGTTGCTTTCGACTGCCGTCTCTGAACTTCGATTTTTGGAGGGCAGATTTCAGGATTTGGATCGCGAAGACTCTGGGGGGTCCCTTGAAGCCGAGGCCACCTCATGGTACCAGGGGGCATCGAGGTGAAACTTCAAGTCCAAAGGGGAGTGGAATGGCTACGACAATCATTCCTAAGGAAGTCGAACACCTGCAAAGCTACGTCGGCCACAACCTGAGCTCCGAAAGCAAAATGCAAGGCTGTTGTAGCAACCAACAGAACTAAGCTATCATGGCCACCAGAAGACCCTCGAGGACAACAGGCTGAGTTTTGAGGACCACCGCCGCAGCTACGAGAGCCACCAGAAGAACGCCAAGGCCCATCAGCTGAGCTACGAGAGCCACCAGCAGAGTTACAAGAGCCACAAGCGGAGCCACGACCACAAACCGAGCCACTGGGACCACAGGTACATCCACTACTGCCAAAAGCTGCGCTACCAGGGCGACCACCTATACTGCAAGGGCCACGTGCAGACCCTCGAGAGCCACCAGCCCAACTGCGAGGGCTACTTGCTGAGCTACGAGGGCCACCACTTGAGCTATGCGGGCCACAAGAAGAACAGCTTCCCGGAAAGCTACCACAGCGACAAGCTAAACTGCAAGGGCCAGGAGCAGAGCTTCGAGAACCGCCAGTCCAGTTACGAGGTCCACCTGCTCAGCTACGAGGGCCACAACCTGAACTACACGGACCGCAAGCAGAGCTACGAGAGCCTCATGCTGAGTACCAGGGCAACGAGATGAACTTAACTGACCACCAGCAGAGCTACAAGCTGCGCTACGAGGCCCGCAAACAGAGCTACGATATCCACCAACAGTGCAACCAGGGCCACCTGCTGTTCTACGAGAGCCGGCAGCAGAGCTACACTGGCCATCAGCTGAGATGCGACCCCCACTCGCTGAGCTACGGGAGCCACACGCAGGGCTACGGGGACCACCGGCTGAACTACCAGGGCCGGCCGCTGTGTTTTGAGGGTCGCAAGACGAAGGCCAGGGCCCACGGAGGACCTGGATTACCAAAAAGCCAATCGCTATCGGAGACACTTTGGAGGGCAACTACGGAAGAGCTTACTACGAGTGCACGGTGCTGGAGCTCAGCGTCCAGAAGCTGAAAGTCCGCTGGACCGACTGCGCGTAGGGTAGCGTCCCCCGCTGATTCATCCGCAGGAAACCACAAACATAGTTAAGGGGGCTACAAGCTGAGCTACGAACGCCACGAGCAGGGCTACGATGACGTCCGGTTGAACTGCCCAACCAGGTGGTGCCATGAAGAAAACGGCGAGACGGCCTGCCTGAAGCCGGATAAGATCACGTACTATTACAGCGTTACGGACAGCGATATACGAGTACATCGTTACAGCAGGATACCACGTCTACTCCGTTAGCGTTGCAGGCACCATCGTTGCCATCGTGTACCACATAACTGGCGGGGTACTTCGTGTATGCGCTACTGGCAAAAGTGGATCGTCTACGGCATGTGCCGCTCCTACGGTTGAGCGGCCCCGCCGCTCCACCAACCTGCCCCTTGCAGGAGTGTAGGCGGCCTTTCTTTCCCTTCCTCCCCTCCTGCGGAAGGGGGCCGTCTCCGTGTAGCCGTCGCGCCCTGGGGCGCGTGGCGGGCGCGGGGGCGTTTGGGTGACGCGCTTCACGGCTGCGAAAAGAAGAGGGGAAGGATGAGCACGAGGAGCGAGGAGGATGAGGATGAGGAGGAGGAGGAG